AGAGAGAGAGAGAGAGAGAGAGAGAGAGAGAGAGAGAGAGAGAGAGAGAGAGAGAGAAGGGATTTAAATAAATAATCATCCCATGTTTATTTGAGAGTCATTTTGGTATAGGGGTTAAAGCCACCAGGCTAGAAACTGGGAGACTGTGAGTTCTAGTCCTGCCTAGGCACGAAGCCAGCTGGGTGACATTGGGCCAGTCCCCCTCTTCACTGCTGGTTTTTGACAAGCAAAGTCAAGGGGAAGCTGGCAGGAGATTGTAAATGGTCATCATGTGATGTTGCACCTAACAATTGCATGGGATTTGCTTAACAACTGCAACTGGAACTGCCAGAACAGCCACTGTGAGTCAGTGTGGTCACATGACATCATTCTTTACGACCATGTCGCTTAGCGATGAAGTTCCCAGTCCCAATTACTGTTGTTAACCAAGAACTACCTGTAGTTCATTGTTTAGGTCAGTCACTTGATACCTTGTTATCCATAGCTATTGGTAAAATTATTTAAAAATATTGAAAAGTATTGAAAAGCTCTGTATCCAAGTAAAAAAACTAAAGCCACAACTCTTCGTTTTTAAAACTGCAAGCATGAAATTGTCAAATTGTCAAAGGCTTTTTCTGCACCAAGAAAAATTGTAACAACTTTCTTGTTGTTTTTTACTTATCTTGTTGCTAATGTTCAGAATGTGTCTAACAGTATCATAAATTCAATCTGGTCAGAATGTATAATTTCAATTTAAAAAACCATTTATTCCCTTTTTGAGTATTGCCCTAAAGAGCTATTATAAACTGATGGATTGAATCTTTCCTTTTTTTATACATAAATCAAAGCGATAAAAGCTTCTTTCCATGAGGAGGGAAGTTTTCACATTCCTAATTCATTACTTGAGTTAAAGGTTTAATCAAAATTTCTTGGAATGTCTTATGGTTTATTACAGAAATTCCATCAGATCCTGGAGCTTAAAATTAATTGTATTAATTATTGTATTAATGTATTATTTTCTGAATCTTTTTCTTTTCTTGATTTATGACTTTATATTTTAGTTAATTAATTATTAATTAGAATATAAAGTCATAGATCAAAAAGAAAAAGAAAAAAGATCAAGAAAATAATATAGAATATCTCTTAAAAACTTATTCATACTCTAAGTAAGCTTATAGTCAGGTCCAGTAACTGTCACTGCAATGGCACAAAATGTGGCTACCATTCTGGAAACTTTGCAATCCTGGTTGTTTAGAATGTAATGTGCAATTGCCATTAATCTAAGTAGTTTCTGATAAGAGGGAAGGTTATCATCCAAGGATAGTAAACGGGGCATAGCAGAAGTACGGGCACTGCTGTTTTCACTTGAAGTCTACGCAATACATAAAAATAAGGAAAACCATGAAATCTTCCCAGCAATTCCATTGCTGGAAAAGCATCCAAGCAT